CATACATCAATATCACTTTCACAATACTATATCCCTTGATAAAGCAGACAGTGAAAAACAACAATATTGTAATTACAATGGACGCTGATATGTAGATGAAAATGATAGTTATCATCATATTGAAATGACTTGAACATTCAAGCACTTGTAAAAAAACATTGTGATAACATAAAGCATGATAAGGCCACAATTTCCTAATGGGAAAAGTGTTTGGCAGACAATATTGTCTTGGCTCATTTGATACATTATCTCATGACATGGTTATCAGCTTTGGATGGGCAGTCCAGCTTGGTCCAGACAAATATGCTGAAATTAAATCAATTAAACTTCAATCCAGTACTTATCAAGTGTTACAATATTTTCCAATGAAGACATTTTCCCTTAGGGCAAGTTTTCTGTGGGACCCCTGGGAAGATCCTCAGTGATTTCAGACCAGTGATATGATTATTAAAGCAATGGCCATGACAAGTAGCACCATATCTGTACATGCACTAGGGGAAATCCTAATATTTAACGAGATGAGTGTTATACTGTGTCAGCTTTAATTCAGTCTTCTCATTGCGGCAAGACTTCACAAATTCTACCCATGTGGAAATAGAACTGTTGTACCCTTCTGTCTCTTGTAAGTGTTTTCATCAGTGAGATGTCACTGTGCATTTCATGTAATAGCATATTAGCATCAGTAACATGTGATCAGTGATTTCTCAAAAATTGTGATCCGAGACAATCCTACCCTCTTCATGTGCTCAAGTGCTTTTTTCAGGCGTGTTTCTAGATGTTGTCCCTGCCATGACACTGAGATATCTCCGGGTAATTATGCTGATATTGAAATTTTGGGACTCTTACATCTTAATAGTTTCGGCACACAAAGTGATGTCTGGACAAATACTACCCTTTTAGCAGTTTCATTCTGAGTGACAAATAAAATGTTTCCCACATTGAATCAAACCTGAGTTTTCATCAAGACAAACACTGTTAACAAGGCATTGTTGTATGAAGCAATAGTTTTATCCTGCTTGATTTGTATGAAATAATGATCAGAGAGATGAGACATGCCCATTGAGACAATGGTTTAATCAGTCATTCGGTGTGAAGCAATAACATTCTTTATACAATTTTTCACTGCTGATTGTAAGAGGTATCATGGTTCCAGTATGTATGTCAAACATTTCAGAAATTATAACACATCATCTTTTCAATATTGTAACTTTGTCTTCACATAAACAATGATAAATATTCATCTCCATCAATAACTGACAGAAAAGCATCTGGTTGTCAACAGATTATAGCAGTGTGTTTTGCAATACAGTCTGGGAGTCAGTACTGGTACTACTACTTAGTGTTGGGAATTGGGTAAAATCTAGTAATTGATGATTGGTCCATTACAACCGATGAATCATTGAAAATAATTGGTTAGCGTCATTTATCAAATTTCCTGTTATTTTTGTTAATGCACTAACAAAAATAAAGAAAAACACATGTAGTAATTTTTGTTTGTTTGCAAATTGCATAGAGTCCATTTGCAATTCTTACATATTTAAATGATGGTTAGTATGTTAGGAACACATATTTCCTAGATTCTTTAAGATAAATTCAATCATGACTTGAAATGAGCTTGTAGTGCTTATGAAATGCAAATTTAATGACCCAGACAAAACCAGCCCAGCCTTGTGAAAAATATCGTAATGCAAACAAGTGTTCCAAGATTGGTTGTGTCTATTACGAGAAAACATGTTCGATTGCTTGGTCATTTAGTCACTGCGACCAATCTTCGATTACTAGTATTTCAATTAATCGGACCACCACCACTACTACTTCTACTAGATATGTTGTTTCCACTGCTGTAATACTGTTGACAACTTGACTAGACATTAGTCATTAACCTACACATATCATCATCTATTAAATTCAAACAGTAAATGTTTCTAGCATTCTTGCATGCACAAGGACACATGCCAGATAAATATAGCTTTCATGATTCTCGTCCCCGAAATCAGAACCTAGTCCTTGAATTTCTTGCTTTGGTCATTTATGGTAAGTCATTGTTACTACCAGTGTTGTTATCATCACCTATTCCTTCTGCTCTTTCTGTAGGCATTGACCATACCCTCTGTAAACAGTATGTATCAGTCATACATGGCAGCATATTACACCTTGCTACCTGTGTGGATACACATTATCAGTGTTTACTACTTCCATTGAGCATCCCTTGGTGAACAAACTTTTCCAAAACAACCTTGCTTAACATGAAAGTATATCCAGAACATCAAAAAACATATCGTGGATGATGAAGAATGACATAGGTGCTGAGCACTGCAACTTGCTTCAAACAGGCTGGGTTAGGTGTCAACAACACAATGGAATGACTTGTTAGAACGGTGAATTTCCTGTAGACGGATGGATCCCACGTCAGAAATAATGTGTGTGCCAACACAGAACACACAGGATATCAATGTAACCTCATCAAACTTCTGAACACATCAATCGATGCACCTGACAGAACAAGCCAGAATGGAATCATCACAATGTACGTGGATATGATGTCGTAAAAGTACTGTACTTTGAGACAGAGTAACACTTGGAACGACATTTTGAGCACAACCGATGCCATAAACCAGGCTTTTCTTCTCATTGTCAGTTCGTTTCTATCATAACCATTTTTACAATGGACGATCATATTTACTGTAATATAGATGACAACAACAGCATCAAAAAGCCACAGCGGGATGAAAATCAAGAACCAGTTCCACTCAACCTTGTGGTCCAAACGCAGTACTAAAAGAATAAGAAACACTAAAACAGTAAACCAGGTGAACAGGGCTCTGTGAATGACAGCCATTTTGAAGCTCGGGGGAACTTCCTGTGCGGCGATGGTAAATAGAGTTACTTCCCTTAGACGCCAACACTGCAGCTCGGTGAAAACTATGCCAACTGCACTCCGATCAGAGCAGGGATTATATAATATTATACATGATCCCCAACCTGTCTAAACGACTCCACTTTATGTTAAGAATAATAAAAGTTGTTAACAAATACACACGAGGCAAGTATGCCGACGGTGTGGGTATTTTTGTTTGAACGATAACGTCAATTTAAAAAGGATATTGACCCTATCAGAGACCATATACCGGGTCTCTGACCCTATGCACTGAATTGCTAAAATATTATGCCACCGCACTTTTCAGTAACTATAACATAGTTCGAAGCATCCAAACTACTCACTCATTTTGGGAATGATATCAGAAGGGGTTTTTTTTCATTAATGTTAGGGAGTTCGAATGTTTTTCCAACATAGGAAATGTTCAACGTTGGACCAATATAGGATAGTTTAATGCTAGAACGACACTGGTCTATCTCTACATCTCGTATACCTGTACATGAACAAACAAACCTGCCCATGCTTGTAGATTTCTCCAAAATGGTAAACGTCTGAGACCTGCACGACGTCGGCATTTTATCGCACATCATGTAATATAACTGGGATAGTGTCACTCATCCATAGTTGAATATTCTTACTTCCTCCCATTGTAGCTATATATCTGCTTTTAACCATGCCGGAGGTCCAAATTATGTACGTGTTTCAAAAAAGGTTATATGCCGTCTATATGAACTTGTATCACGAGTATCACGGCCATTGTATGACAAAGAAGTCAATAAGGGACCGTTCATAATTTATGGCTGGGGGTAGGTGGGGTGGGATGATGATGATTTTTATGGAGAAGCATGTACAATGTGAATGACCCCCCTAAATTTTTTGTACAAAGTAAGTGACCCCCCCTGCATGTCATGTACAAAGTCAATGGATCCCCCTCCCCTTTCCATATTTTTAAATCATAATTTTAAATATCTTTATGTACAAAATTGCTGACCCCCCTAGAAACTTGTGTACAAAATTGATGACCCCCTACCTCCCCAGAACAAAATGGGTGACCCCCCTTAATATCATCATCTAACCCCACCCCTAGTCATAAGTTATGAACGGTCCCTAAAGTCCTGCAAAAATGTGTATCGACAATGTTTCAATAATTGATGAGTATGTTTGATTTAACAGTGATTGCAAACGGTGATGTTGGCTCAGGCTAATTCTGTGTTACATACTTAAAAAAAGCAATTGTTTCCTCGCTTTGCATACGACAGGTATGACCTCCTAAATACCTTTAAAGGAGATTTATCTTGAAGTTAAAACAAAGTGCCCTTTGCAAGCAAGTTTGAAATGAATTATGTTGTTTTGTTAGAGAAATCAGACAGGGAATAGTCGGTTTATGCCACCTTCTACTCACAGTAGCAGTTTATTACTGCTGTCTTCTACTCACAGTAGCAGACTAACTCTTTGTTTTGACAACTAACAAGTTGTCCCACACTGGCCCCCACGTTCACACCTTCTTAACGAGTTGTCCCGGAGTGGACCCTGAATTTGGTTTGTTACGTCATAGGCAGGGGCCCGGGGGCCATTCTGGGAATACACCGGAATAGTCATAATGGGAGTGAATTAACAATACACGTAAATGAAACAAATTTGGACGTGTCACCAGTGTAGGCTATATAACAACATTAACGGTGCAGAATTGGCCATAGATTCTATATAAGGAATCATCCATTTGTTTGGTTTCACATTTCAGTGATTGTGTCGGTGTGAAGGAGGAATGGGTTTCTCGAAAGTACTCAAACATAATTTTTTTTGGGGGAAAAAGCGAAATTGAATAGATTGTTTGATAATAGTCAGTATGTTAGTAGTTTGTTGGCACGAGCTAGCCGCCCTCACCCCACCCTCCACCCACACACTCGCACATGATACACACTTACACACTCACAATACCAGCTCAATGAGACAGGTATCGATCATGACAACAAGAGTAGCAGCAAAGAACAGAAATATGTCTATTATCCGGTATAAAACAAGGCGCTGAGAAGGCTGGAACCATGACGAAGAGTTTTAGAAATTACACATTTGTAAAACAGACCATAAGACAAGGGAGACAATTCTAGTTATAGTTCAGCAAGTGCCCGTTCGAAGCAAAATACTGCTGAAATCTTGTTATGGTTGTAATTATGGGTAACGCATACAGTGAATTTACAGTCCTCATGTAATACATTAGGTAAGTGCAAATGGATATGGAAATGTAGTCAGCACACCTTGTAATGTCATTTGCAAATAAGCATGTCGAGCAGAGCTAGAAGCTAGGCCAATCTGGTCTTCGTCAGTTTGTGAACTATGACAGCGGTGGCATGACTTGGATTAGTTGCCAGTCTTACTCTTAGCAAGCGGTTTAAAAGCACATTTTTTTGCCAGGAAATGAAACTTTATTATCAACAGGCAGATTGTCGATTTGAAGACCCCTCCGTTACAATCCATGGAGATCGGGATTAGAACTGTCTTCAGCAACCGACTGTCATAAGAGCGAGGCGAAGAACGGGATCGGATGGTTATAGCTGACTTGTTTGTTACATGTCATCAAAGTTGCATATATCGGCGCTCATGTTGTCAATCACTGAATTATTTGGTCCAGACTCGTTTGATTAGAAGAAGAGTACCAAACATAACATACATGATGTACATAATACAGACACATTATAATGTTTAATTGGAAACATAAAATAATAATGGCTATATCTTTATAGTGGTGTCTGGTGCTGCTTTCTCATTTCGTTCAGATAAATAAAAACTCACATTTTTGTGTCTGCATAGTGTTGTTTTGTTATACACTGTAGTTGATTACGATTATCCTGTACCTTGCAGGAACAATTTGATACCTTGTTAACTTCTAATGAGATGCATGCAGACACTGGATAATAGGCCTACTTTAAAACAGGTGCTCATATGAAGGTGAGATACCAGTAGGATCTCTACCAGACAATTTAACGATACTGAAATGGAAGACTTATTGTTTAAGTCATCATACATTATGCCTTTTGTGCACATATTAGGCAAACATTATTAATGTCCGACATGAGGACATATATACCAATATTTGAAAACAAACTTTATTTTTTGTAGGACTAAACAGGAACAGTAAGCATGGGGAGTATAGAAGATCCCCATTATCAACAAAATCTGTCGACAAGCCTGCATCGTCTGTATGAGACAAAGTGCCTGTGTGACATTACCCTGAAGACTGCTGATGGATATGAGCTGAAAGCTCATTGGTTAATTCTAGCCGCCCACTCAGAGTATTTCCACAGCATGCACATGCCAAGGAATTCAGATGGTTCAGTGGACACTGTTGAATTAGGTGTGTACAAATGTGTAGCTATCTACATGTGACATTAATGTACTGTAAATTTGTTTTGTACTAGATTGTGGATGCAATGTTTATAGTGGTACTGTGTTCAGCATTGACATGCAATGTTTATAGCGGTACTGTGTTCAGCATTGACATGCAATGTTTATAGCGGTACTGTGTTCAGCATTGACATGCAATGTTTATAAGCGGTACTGTGTTCAGCATTGACATGCAATGTTTATAGCGGTACTGTGTTCAGCATTGACATGCAATGTTTATAGCGGTACTGTGTTCAGCATTGACATGCAATGTTTATAGCGGTACTGTGTTCAGCATTGACATGCAATGTTCATTGGTTCAGTTTCAACATATTATCTAACCAGAAATGTCTCTCGTATTTACATGGGCCATAGATAGTACAGTCGTTAAATCCTCAGAAATTGCAGTGAAGAGGTGTGACCCTAAAGAGCACCAGAAACCAACGATTGCAGATTCAAATACCCCATTCTCTATGTTGTATTTCTATGCTCATCAGCACATACTATGCTCATTGTCTTCAACAAAGTGCATCACATTGGGCTTTACTCCCACATCAAACTGACAAGCTGACTAGCTCTGGTGGCGTGTGGTCCTGTGCATAGAGCTCAGGTCACAAATCAGTTGAACTTAAGCAATGTTGAGCGTGGACAGTCCTTGGATGGGTTTGACAGCTTGACTCCTGAGGGTTTCTAGGACTTCAGTCTTGCCCCACAACGAAGCACATGTGACACATGTGGTCTCACCTTAGGCAAGTGAGTTTGTTCAAAATTGCCTCTGTTCACCCAGCAGAAAGTGGGTACCCGGTGGGACAAGTCATGTGACTTATAACCTTCTAGGGCCTCACAGGCAGCTTGGGTTATCCGGGGTAATAATGTGTTTGCACTTTGAGCATGCACGAGTGTGTGGAAAAGGTGTGTTGTAAATGGTCATTATTATTATTTATGTGAAGATAAACTCAACTCACTCACTTACTCAGTCACTTGTCTTTACAGATGTTGACTTTGATGTGCTGAAGAATATCCTTGACTACTTATACAGTGGAAAGGTCATGGTCAATGACTCAAACAGGGCTCAACTGTTGGACACTGGAAAAAAACTGAAATTTGAATACCTTGTTGAATTTATTTCTAATCAAACATCTGTGATGACAGCAACTTACATGGATAAATCTGCTTCTGAGGCCACAACACTGAGTTCTTTGGACCTTCGTGGTGTCAGGTATAAATCCAGTGGAGACCAGTCAGATCAAGACCAGTCCAGTGGAGACCAGTCAGATCAAGACCAGTCCAGTGGAGACCAGAAAGATCATGACTGGTTTGGGGGTTCTCCTAGATCAGACTCACAGAAACCGGATCTGCCAACAGATGAGACGGAGTCCGTGTTCCTCCCGGAGTGTCTCCCCCACTCTGACAGTGTAGAGTTTGACATCAGTCGAGTCAAAGATGAGGTGGAGGAGGAAGACCCACTAAGCTCAAATCTACAAGTTACATTTAACACAGAAGCTTCAGGTCTGGCATCAATACCAAGTAATCAAGTTTTGTCAAACAAAATCAGCAAAGAAACCTGGACATGGTTGATGGTCAAGCCGTCTGTATTGGCCATATTGTGCCAAATGTTTCAGGAAGGACCGTCTCTCAGGACATCCTGCATACATCATCATCAGCTGATGTAAGTGAAGGGAGTCCATCCAGATATATTCCTGAAGTAGTGTCCTTTTCTAAATGTCTGACAGTCGGTGACAAACAGGAAGAGAACAAGATAAGGAGAAGGAAAACCGAACCTGATGAATTAGATTATAGCAAGAACAGGCCAGCGAAACAGAGAGGTGGGTGTCGGAGCACTGCTCTAGCTCAGACTGGTAACTCTGCAGCTTCTCACCTTTGTGACATCAGAGACAACAATCGAAAATCAAATAAATTAACATCAAGAGTTAATATGAATAAGTCATTAAGGAAAGTGTGTGTTGTTGAGAACTAGATCCAAGTCTGCAGGAGCAGATTCTATGTCTAAGAGGCATGGAATTGCCATCTTGAGTGTTGATTCTGTTGGGTGTGATGTGACATCAGAAGTTGACAATGTTGATGAAGTTTTAGCCGTGGATGATGACTTTGATAAAAAACCAAATGAGACACCACTTTTTCCTCCTCATACAGACGGTAATGACCAGTCAAACAAGTTCTTATCTCCTAGTCCTAGAAAGAAGAGGAAACCAGGAAAGACAGCTGTCAAGGTTTGTCAAAGTTCTTTTCAATATGTGATTTGTTAGCTTAGCACTTTTTCCAAGTCTGTAACAAAAATAATGATCAATCTGTTTTCTAGCAGTACCGTGATTCACTATTACTGCAGTAGAGCCAAAGTGAGTGAGTGGAGATTTTATGCCATGTCAGTTTTCAGCTATGTAGCTCCCAGAAAATTATATCTACTTTAAAACTGTAATGGGAAAGTACATTGTCAGGCATGGCCAGTCATATTGGTAGTGCATTCCTATTCCTAATGAAGTAGCCACGTGGGCACAATGTGTGAGGCCCATTTCTGGTGTCCCCTGCCGTGATATTGTTGGAATACTGCTAAAAGCAGCGTAAAACCATACTTACACTCACACATCCCTAATGAAGCAGTAGAGTCTTAGTAACAACAAAAACAACAACAGCATCAACAACAGTAATATTTTTATTTTTGTTTTCAGACTCTGAAGAAAGGAAGAGCTGGAAACTTCCTGGTGAGTCGACAATTTGTACAGGAATGTAACACATGCTATATTTGGGATTACAGATTCTAGTACTTTTGTTGGGTTGAGTCCCATCTGGGATTTAAACCCACACCCTCAGAGTCAGGCACCTAATTCTACAGGAATATCATCATCCAGAGGCATATTGATGTTGATGTGGGATATTGCTACAGACTACTTATAGTTATAACATCTGCATTTATGTTTTAATGGGGCAGTGGGGTAGCCTAGTAGTTAAAGCATTTACTCATCATGCCAAAGACCAGCGTTTGATTTCCCACATGGGTACAATGTATGAAGCCCATTTCTGGTGTCCCCTGCCGAGATATTGCTGGAATATTGCTAAAACTCACTCACTCATTTGTTATGAAATTGTGATGATAGAAATATCCTATCAATGCTCAGCATAAATGCGAGAAAGAAAGAGAGAGAGAGTGAGTTAGTGAGTGAGAAGAGAGAGAGATAAAATCATTCTTAAAGTTTCTTAAAGTCACCTTCCATGTTTATAATTGACGAAATAGTGTATAACATCACATTAGACACAAAAAATGTGCTCATATTTCCGCCTATTATGGAAACACTTGACAGTTAATGAGAAGAAGTGGGTATCACATGACTAGACGTCATATGTGCCTATTGCTGATGGCTTCCTCTTTGATTTTACTTGTCAACTTGACAGTGATCATAGATTTTCATGGATGTTAGACATATCAATACGAGCCGATTTTACATCTTGCAAGAGAAACTTGCAGTGAAGAAGAAGAATCAAGCAAAACGGAGGCACCACTTGATCTCAAAATAATTGTTAAATTTGACAATATAACTTATCAGCAATTTAGTTGTCATTTGAATGTGATGCAGTTCTAACCTGCACACCAACCCCTATAATATATGACCAATCCCAAAGAATTTCTTTGTTTTGAAATGTGATTGCCATTAAATGGGTGACTGCAGAGAGTTTGGGATTATTAAAAAAAAATTGATTGTCCAGTGGTGCATCCAGGCTGCGCGATTGTGGGATTCCCCCTTATTAACGTACATCTCCTGCTAAAAATGAAAATCAATGTGTGACCTGTCACGCAATATAAATGACCACATACCTATCATATTGTGTCAACTCACGCACCTGCATAACATGTGTGGGTCTTGGGGATGCATTTACATATCGCAAATCAAAAGCATCTTTGGTAAATATATAAACAAGACCGCGAATCAGGTTGATAAACTCTTCAGTTTGTTAAGCCAAACCATTTTCACCATTTTCTCTTTTCATGACAAATACCCAAAGCGGTTTCTTGACTGATATCTATTTTCGGTTTTGCTTGCATTAATGTGTGGTATAGTCCTTAGGTTTACTTCAGCCAATCAGGTGCTGCATATTAAGCAGCTCGGCAACGTCCGTAATTTCTTTAGCTTGATGATTGGTCTAAAAACATCACGACCTCGTGTCAAACTAAATGTAGCCTGGCACACCAAGGGTATACTTCAGAACATGCGAACAGCGAACAATACACAAAAGTGCTGTCACATAGCCTTAGTTATGATAATAAATATTTTACGTTGATAGAGCAAAACCTGCACTTAGAATTACACAATGCTAGAATATATTTCTCTTGATAAAATAACGGTGATATTTTTCCGATCATTGCATCAGAATTCATCTTCGAAAATCACCGGTAGATCATGGGGGGCGTGTGCACAGCTGATTGCTATTTCCGGCTCTATATACGAGACAAATACACACAGTAATCTTAATCCCTGCATATAATACAATGCAAAGCAGAAACAAATTAGAACTGAAACAGTCTTGTGTATGGATTAATGTTGAAAAGTCACTGGCCAGGAGGGCTAGTTAAGTAACAATGTTGCTATCCCACATCATACTTCACTGACCCTGCAAAATATCTATATCAAAATGCACATCGGTTCGAATTGGTGTGATGTTTTGTTTTGTTTTGTTTTGCACAACGCTATTAACATTATTTTTTAATATAGCAATCTTCGTGTGACAGGAACTTTTGCATCTTTTAACACCTTAATAATTGACTTCATCATATTCATGCGCATTAAATAAAGAATAAATTATCTGAGATTTTCAGCGAGCCAGTCGGGATAGCTTTAACAATATATTACTGGCCTGATTCACAATCAGCTAGCATTTGGCTAGCGGGCCAGTAGCTATTTCGAATGTTGGTGACCATGTTTTATTCTTTAGGTGTAGGACAATTGTCAATACCTATATGTTTATAGGCCACATTGTCCCCACAATTCATGCTGTAAAATAGAAGACATGTGCGTAATTCAACCAAATATCTTTCCATTCCGTCATTATACTAGCCCATGAGCCTGTAAAACAATGTCTGACATCGGCTACGTTTCCGTAAAGATTCATAAAGTTATCAAAGTTTAAGGTGCCATTGCTGTATAAACGAAAAACAAAATACACCAACATTTAGAGTAATTATCAAACTCCCTTTGTGCCAAATCTGAATGCCGTTATCGAGCGTTCACCCTTGAAAGACCGACACCATCAAACTGTTAGTGAACGATTTAACAACATCATGGTGAACGATTTAATGTTGAACTCTTATTTTTACACAGTGAACGCTTTACAGTGGTTATTCAATAAAGTTTCTAGTGACAAGGTGTGCTATACTGCCCAAAAGTAATTTATTCACAGAGAAACCATATACATGTAGAGACATCCATATTTCAGTCACGTAAAGCTAAATCAACTTCATAATTCTTTTTCACCATTTTTTGTATTACATAGTATATATATTTCTTACATACAGATTTTCTCTGTCAACTTCTATAACTGAGTAAAAGTTGCAGTGGTTTGTATTCTTAACTATTGTTTCAACATAGTCATATCAGTCGCAAAACATTTGCAGATGGAGACACTAGAAGTGAGTGGAATCACCTTGGGCGGCTCATTAAACGAGACACATACTCATCCCCCTGTGAGCACATCTGCACCTATGAAAAGCAGTGCTGTGAAACAGAATTATCTTTGTGGTACCTGTGGCCAACAATATTCAACTAAAAACGGATTGAGAGGCCACATCCGACTTGCGCACAGTAAGAATGCAACCTATCAGTGCAAAATCTGCAGCAAGATGTTCATGTCGAACCATCACTACATTGGTCACATGAACAAGCATTATAAACTGAAGCCGTACAAATGCTCCAAGTGTAAGTCCCAGTATTCCTATTCGGCGGCACTTTCAGCACACAAGAAACGATGTAAGAATGATGAAGTCTCAAGAGAACGCATCCAGTGTGAGCATTGTAGTCAGGTTTTTAAGTCTTCCAAGTACCTGAAGGATCACCTCAAGAGTGTCCACTCCCCAGGACTCCCGTACTTGTGCGAGTGTGGCAGAAGATTTAAATGGCGATCATCCATGAAGAAACACAAGGATAAGGCTTGTGTGGCCACAAATAGCTGATGTGTAATTGAAAACCAAGTGTTTGCTTATGTGTTACTTTTTGTGTGCAAGATCTGCATGCTACGTTTTACATGATTTGTCTACAATTTTTTTTATTGCCATGTATGTATAGTCGCTCTGAAAAGTGAGTGTATTTTTTGTTTGTTTCTTTTTCCCAAGTTATGTTATGCTTTGGGATATGGTTATTGATCAGTTCACCCATCCGCCCTTCTGTAATCATTTCCTGAGCTGAATACGAAAACAAAAAGTTCATCATTCCAAACCTTTGCACATGCATTAATGGAGAATAGAAGCAGTTTCTTTTATTCAGTTTTCAGTTAGATATTTCCTATTGACTACAGGTTCAATGTTATACTATCTTACATGAACAATATCACCGGTGTGATAAGTTGTATTCTAATGACTTAGTATAGGGTATATACTGATCTATATATTATTTCATAATATTTATTTTCACAAACATGAGATTCATTTCCATGTCATTCAGCATGTTTGTAGCAATTAGAATTCCCTTTAAATTCATTATCTCTTTAACTTTCCTGAATTTGAATCAAAGACACTGTAACTAATGCAGATGTTTTGTATTGTAACAGTCGCTGTCACACACTGAAGTGCACATGGTTATTTTCAATTATTTACTATGTGAAACAATCACATGAAAATAAACAAGATCATTTCAATTTTATTGTTCTTCGTTCTGCCCTTTGTACCATTTCATCTGGTTGAAGATCAAGACTACCAAAGAAAACTTTCCCACTGTGCAGAAAAACGCAGAAAAGCCCACATTAATCGTGGAAATAGCAACATAAACATAATACCTCGCTACTGAAACAGTAATAACGGCAACTTTAAGTCGCTAAAACTGCAGAAAGAAACGAAGAGCCTGCAACTTCGATTTTGCGCATGCGCACAGGGAAGAGGAAGTCTCAACCGCATGTTGATATTTTCCAGCTTGGACAAAAGTTACATTCCCTTTTCAAAGTATTTCTCTTGTGTTATTTGGCATTTATCATCATGATACTTGTTTCCACACTTGTTTAGTTTACTTTCCATTCAGTTGAAATGATTGACAGCAATTATTTTGACATATTTAATACTTTTTCTACTCGAGGCGATTCACGGTTGCTTGGAAATTGGAAAGAAGCGCGGATCGTAATGCGCATGCGCAGTAGAGATCAAAGTTCGCTGATACAAAAATGTTGCAGTTTCATAGTCTTTCGTTGCCGTTTTTACTGTTTCAGTAGCGAGGTATTATGTTTATGTTGCTATTTCCACGATTAATGTGGGTATTTCTGCGTTTTTCTGCACAGTGGGAAAGTTTTCTTTGGTAGGCCTGAACATATCGTCATCTTCCTTTCACTCTGGCAAGTAATTGAAGACATCTAGTACAACACAAGATTAACACTCGCATTAACATCATGCACAGTTCTATTCAGGTTCTATGCCAAATTTGACATGCGGCAGAATTTTAGTCTCGTTTCTCCGATGGTGTTCTCTTACACCTTTGGCACCGAGGTGCTGTACTGTTCAGGTCTGGAGACT